CAAATAATTCATTTTGGTTAACTATTAAATATCAAAGAATAATCCGCTCTAATCCGTGGCATAAACTTTAAGTTTGGGTTGTTCACCTCCTATGAATCACATGTTCGAATTTCATGAAATCTTTTTATGCACAAAAAAAAAAACTATTAAATGTCAAATTTTTTTTACTTAAAAGTAAAAGTATTAAAAGAATTTAGTTAAATGCATAAACCATATTAATAAAAAAAATTAAAATTTTAATAATTAAAACAAAAAATTTGAATTATGTTTAGGCATTAAAATAAAAATTATTAATCAAAATAATAAAAGAAAGAAGAGGGAGAGTTTGTTTATTGTTATTTTTAAGTTTAATCTTTATTTAATTAAATTAATAAATACTTAACATTTTAATTATTTATAAAGAAAGATATTTTAGACCTTTTAAAAATTTTAATACACTTATAAAAAATTTAATCAAAATATTTTTCTTTATATAAAACTTAAAATTTAACTTTTACTTAACATAATAGATTATTTTGATACACCCACCTTAAACAAAATTTCCCTTCTCATGCATGTTAAAAAAAAAACAAAGTTTCCCATTTCAATTAGCGAATGCTCCGTTGACGAGTAATGATGGTTGGCACATGAAGTATGAGATAAACCGACGCCAGTTCAGAATCGTGGCGTTTGATATATTCCCGCCGGTGATTACTCCGCTTCTGCTTTTCAGTTTTCGTTCCCTGTGGGCGTAAATAATGTTAATGAGATGATAAATTTATAATTATGTGATATTAAATGAATAAGAAATAATGAGAGGTAATATTACAAAATATATATAATATAAATTAGTGTATTTTAGTTTTTATTTTGTTAAAAAATTAAGATGGGGTTATTGTCACTCCTTAAATGATTAATACTACATTTTTTTTAATATAATTATCTATTATACATTTATATCACATTCTTTTTAAAAAATTTATATTTTTTTATTTTTTAATAAATTAAATGAAATAATAATCAATTAAGATAAAAAAGTATAACTTTAATAATTAAGAGTGTGATAATAACATCACTCAGATTAGAATATCAACTTATATTTAAATTTAGAAATTTAAAATTTAACATATTAAATGTTAATTTATAGATTTAAAAATTAATTATATATTCTAATATAATCAATTTTTAAATTTAAATATTAATATTTAATAAAATAAATTTTTAAAATTTGAATTGAATTCTAAGTTTAAAGTTAAAACGTTAATTTATTTTAAAAATCAAGATTGGTATGTACTTTTTTATATAATATTATGAATAAAGATTAATGCATATTAGTTTTTAATTTAAAAAAATTAGAGTTTTAATATATATTTAAAAATTAAAAATCTAATTCAAAATTTAAAAATTTAATTAGTTTCTAAATCTAAATATTAATATTTAATAAGTTAAATTTTAAAATTTTAAATTAAATAAAACAATATAATTTAAGATTAAAATTTTAATTTTTTTAATTTTATGGAAATATCATATTATATAGTTAAATATCAATACTATAAGTAGAATATTTTCCAATTTAACGCGCTAAGCTCAGTGACTTGTCGTTCTCGGCACTGCGGATACTGAATCGTTCCTATTGCATATCCAGAGTCAATGGTCAAAACCCGCACATCACCCCATCAACTTCGATATTCCAACAACGATTCATTAAGAAAATGCTAACGGTTTCGTTGACGTGATTCACCTACTGGGCCACATGGACCTTTGGACGGCCCATAAAAGAATTTTGGGCCAATTTCAAGCCCAGATTCCCGTAACGTCTTCCCGTATAAATAGTACTATGTAGCGTCGGGTACACAGCAGGTGATTTCCGTTGAGTCGCGTGAAGTCAAAAACCATGGTGAAAGCGGTCGTCGGAGAAGAAACCCGGCTCCAGTTGGCGGAGGATCGCCTGTCTCGGAGTTCACTTCCGGCGCAGGTACTTTCTCTACAGATTACTGAATTCAATGGAATTATACATAAATAGGGAACTGAAGAGTTTTCCGTTTTCCATTTTCCATTTTCCTTTTCTGTTGAATCTCAGGTCGGTCTAGTGATAGGAAAGCTTAGCTCGACTCTAGACAGAGGCTTCGTGTTCGATTTGGTTCCGACCCCTCAGAACGATGCCGGCCAGCCAGCTTGTTCTGTTATAGAGGCCGCCAAAGATGATAAGAAAAAAGGACCGAAATCCAAATCTCAGGCCGCCGATACTTCCTCCTTGATCATTGACAAGGATTGGGTTGCTGAACACGCCCGCCAGGTTTACTAAATTGAGTTTGATTCGTTTCTGTGAGTTAAATTTTGCTTCTGTGTAATGTAAATGTTGTATTTCTAATATTTGTTGCAGGTGTCAAGGATGCTGGTGGGTGGTATGAATGTGGTTGGCATTTATGTGTGGGCTAGTGAGGCCTCATTCAAGAATTCTGCTTTGGTGTTTTGCCAGGTACTTCTTTTTCTTTGCTTGTCCAATCTCTGTGAACTTGCAACACTAGACCCGAAGATGTAATGTAAAAGCTGATTTTGAAGAAATAATGAATGAGTTTATAATTATATTTCATTGAATTACTTTTGCAGACCATAAAGGGAGTTGCTGATGCAGCATCAATGCTGGAGGCTGACCTGGATGAAAGATTGCTTATTCACATATGTTACAGTCCCAGGAGGTATTTTCAGAAGTCAAATCTATGTTACTTTTACATAATCTTTGTTACTTTTACATTCTCATAGCATTGTCGATGGAAATTGAGATCGTTTACATGTGGATTAATGATTTCGTTGTGTAGATGGGCATGTCGGAATTGCACACTGTCCTCAAATGTCACATCAAACAGCTTGCGGCCTTGTGATTTTAAAATGGGAAGGGTGTTAACTTCCCTTCAGACTTTTAAGTGCTTGTATAACTTTGATCTTAGGTAATTTGCATAATCTTTTCGCTTGTTGTGTCTTAATTCAAGCTTTGTTTCCATTGTCAAAATTCTATTATCTGTTTGGGCTTGTAGTCTTTTACCACTGTTATTTCTTTTGATCATTTATTTTCACCTTCTCTCTATATTTCTTTATTTTTACATATTATATGACAGGCATCAATACCTTATGTTGCTGTATTGTCCAACTCATGATAGATGGAAACCTCCTATTAGCAATGTTGATTATCTTGAAAATTTTCAATTTAGCATCAATATTAGTTTCTCATTTCTCCAGGTTGCCAATATATTGTGAGAGTGCATCAAATTCCCAAACACTTAGTGATATCCTTCGTCATAGAATTTCAGTTTATGCAAAAGAGCTAAGAAGTGCAAAGGCTTTGATTGATGGAAACCTGGTGAGAAGCACTCATATTTACCAGTACCTCTCATTTGTCCCTATGCACTGTTTCCTTATCTTGTTAGTTGTAGTATATTTCTTATGGCAGCTTTCTTCAGGTATTTTTTTTTTTTTTTTCTAATTCTATGTATATTATTAGGTTGTTGATGCTGAGACATGCACAACAGATGGTTTGCATGAAGTTGAGTTGCTTCAACCATTCATGAAGGATACATATATTGAAGGTATCTTGACCCTGGTCACAATTTTTGACCTGATTTCTCCTTTTCATGGTTTTAGTGTTCTTAAATTATATTATTTCTAACATTTGGTAATTTGTTTATTTTGTGAAGCATGCAGCCAGAAAGATATTGTAGGTGTTTTAGTCTTTACTGGTTCTGTGTGTTCATTTGCACATTTGAACTCCAAGGAACCTATATCACAGGCTATTGCTGATATAAAGGTATTTAAGAATTTACAATCTGTATATCTCTTAATTTGAATAAAAATGTTGATATTTAATAACTGAACTGAGAAATTGATGCCTTTTGGTTTTCTATGTTAAGAGATCAACATAAAAACAGAAATGCTTTCCCTCTCTTGTGCTACTTGCCTTTGTTGGCCTTTTCCATGCAATCACAGATGAATGTTTACAGGGTGATATCATCAGGAGTTTGCAAAGTAGGTTAGACATCTTATGTGATGAGGCAGATGGGGATCTAGGCCCAAGTGACAATGGAAACAGGGAATCAAGCAATGAGGCATCGTCTGAAAAACCTGTTTCACAACTTGTTTTGCACTCATTGAGGTGTGTTACGTGTTAATATACCCTCTTTGCCTCAGGAAACTGTGCAATCATGATGATTAGGTTTATGGTTATCTACATCACTTAATCTCAATCACTTGCTATTTTCTGTTGCTTTCTGTTTGCCTGAGGATCCCTTCTACAAGTTTCATTATCAGTTGCTATGTTTTATAGGAATGATGGCTGTAGTTTATCATTGTAGTTTGCATTATTTGTAGCTTACAGGAAAATTTAAAGGGTTGTTGCCATATGTTTACCTAGATGTTTTGTCAATATTCTCTTTTCATCTTGTTGATTGCCGATCAGATTTCTTCTTGATCATGAAAAAGTTGTGATTTCTCTCTTCCCTGGCCTCTTTGCTTCCAGGCTACGTAGATGTTCTAGGCAAACATAGGTATCTCGTGGAATGAAATCATCAAAGATCCAGAAACATAATTTATGTCACTCCGTGAGTTACTGGCAAATCAAAATTTCACCTAAACTGGTTTTGTGGTTTATGATGTCTAGGTGCATTTGACTGAAATGAAAGATGTTGTCTATCTGTGCATTTCAATTAAGATTCATTACTCTACACCCTGCTTGTCATGCCCTGTTGGTTTTGATCTTTCTCTAATGAGCAAGGTTGAATCTGTAATGCATTGATAAAATCTGATGCTTTTCAATTGAAAACAGAAAAGTTTGCAATCTTGCTTTTCCCCGGCGAGTCTTTGTTCCTTGGTTGATGGGGACTTACGTGTGTGATTATCTACAACCATCTGAAACATTTGAGGTTTGCCTTTCCCACCCTCTCCTCCCTTTCTAAGATAGTGGAAGTGCAAAACACCTTGTTTTGTGGTGTCTTCGATAAATTGGCAAAACTGAATTTTACATCATGCCTTTCCTCAATTCTTCAAATACTCTCTCTCACCCCCTCCTCTCTGAGTTTACTAATGGTATATTCCGCTTTCTTCCTTTTTTAATTGAACGAAAATATTCTGACTCGTATCCTGTTTTTTGGTTGTTCTGATTTTAGTGCTTCTATGCTCTATTAGGTTGTGAAAGATCATTGTGTAGAGTTGATGTCTATGGAACCTCCAAATGATACCTCAACAATCTTGGAACCAGAAGCAGAAGCCCCCACTGCAATCACGGGATCCTTTTGGGATTCAGTTGCCCCCTTTAGCTCTTCAATAGAGAAGAGCAAGGAAAACCCCAAAGTGGTTAATGCCCAGAAAGCAGTCAAGTCGAATAATATCAAGTTCATTGCTGCTGTTTTTGTCCTCCTCCTCTCAATCATATTTGGGTATCGGGTACGTCCCTGTTATTAGGCGATAATCAATTTTCTTTAATAGATTATTTTTTGTCAATCGAAAGTATAGATGGTTCTGTTAAAAAGTCTAATACTGAACGAGTTAGAACCCAATAGATGCTAGTTGGCTCTATTAATTTCATACAAACAATCCTTTTTTTTTTTCTTTTTGGATCCTAAGTTGTATAATAAGAAATAATCATTTCTCATCCTTTAATCACGAATTCGAGACTTTTTATTATTATTGAAAGAAACTGACTTACTTAAATTCTTAAATGAAGAAAAGGAACAAGAAGAATGGTTACAATGTGTTATTAATCAATATTTCCTTCCTTTTTTTCTAATTGGATGAAATCACTATGGATAAAAAACAAATAAACAAACAAAATTCTAAAGCCTGGCTAATCAGATGTCAACTTCCTTCTTCACTGCATGCCGCCGGTTTTATCCACGATTACCACCGAGCGAAGCTCACCATTGTCAAATCTAATTAAACATATGATTGAACATTGAAATGAATCAAAACTGTGAAAGAAACAAATGAACAAAATATAAACAAATACTCACCGTTTGCATAGGGTAGTTCGTATGGTGTTATTGCAGTCATTTCCAAGAACGTTCAGCATTTGCTGCAAAACTATCCCATGGCTTACCACTGCAATCTCCTTCTCCGGTCGTGTCCACAACCTGCAAAAAAGACTGTAATTGTGAATTACATATCAATCAAGTTTATTCTGTGCATTTTTGTTAGAAGAATGATGCGGTTCTCCTGCCATTTCATAAGCTTCCTTCCTCTTGCTGCAAGTTCTTCTTCTGATTCCCTTATGTCCGATATCCAGAGATTGTCTTCATCACTGTCCATCTGAACAAGAAAACTAAGTCAGAGTGAGTTATTTAAGATTTTGATTGCTTTTGAGCTCCGATGAAAGGTTGTGTACTTGCCATTGAATAATCAAGTGAAGGGAAAAGTAATTGATAATCACTGACCCTTCTCCTCCTGTCACAAGGACGAAGCCCCTGAAATCGCAACTTTCAGATACATATGCAAGTTAAGGTTGCCAGGGGTGGCAGAACAAAATACCAAAACCGAATGAAATTATAATGGAGGGGTTGAGTTCAACCTTTTTTAACTAAAATTTGAACTGAATCGGTTTTAAACAATTTTTGTTTTTAATTGATAAGTCTAAAAACTAAAAGACAAAAATTAGGGTGATTATAATTGAAAAAGCTAGTCTAAAAATATTTATATAAGGGGTTGTTTGAATTACCTTTGTTTTATAGGATTGATAGTAAATATTTAATGACTAATAATTGTTGTTATTTATAATATAAAATATTTAACTCGTTTAATTAAAGTCAATAACTGATAATTACTTTTAAAAAGGTTAAAACAAATACTCCCTAAATTTTTTAATGGTTTTTAGATATATAAAGGTTTTTGACTCATTTTTTATCAAATTATTTATTTATTTAAATAATTTTTATTTTTTAATAATTAAAATTAATAAAATAATCATTAAAAATTTTTAAAAATCATAAAAAATAAAGAAATAA